ATCTGTTGGGTGCCAAAAAAGTAAACAACCACTTTCTTCCAATCGGTGGAGTAACCCCACTTCTCCGGCTCACTGACCTGCCAGAAGAATTGAACTTGAACGGTCAAATGAAGTATCAACAAACCAAGAAAATAAAAAATAATAACCACTTTCTTCCAATCAGGTTTTCCAGGGTTCAAACCCGGATCACCATATCTCTCCATCCCTACAAGTGTTTATTTGAGAAAAGAAGTCAACTGTTAGAGGAAAAATCATCTCTGAACATTTCCAGTTCAACCATGATTACAGAGTTACAAACACACTTATGGTGCGTCAAATTGGAAGTTGAAGGATGAGACGGAAAGATATTGAAATTGAAGATATAAAAACTACATTAGGGAGTAAATCCGTGTTTTTTCACATTATTATGTTGTCTATGAGACAAGCATAGGATATATAGCAAATTAGCAATATTAAGCTTTTATCATAAAAGAAACTACTTCAATATAACATAAACTTTCTTAAATACAAAAAGTGAGCTAAAGTTCAGGGGATTTCTTTGTTTTAGATGTTCATCTTCCTCATAAACATTCAAAATCATTCATTTCTAAGACAATCCCTCGGTATCCTCCCATCGTGAGGATACTGGGTTGAAAATGAGAGCTCATCCATTCTTGGAACTAGTAGCTTCCTTCAGATTCAAGATAAGGCTGCCCCGGCAGAAAGGGGAAAATAATGTGAGAGAGCCTAAACATTATTTAATGTTACCAAACATTGTGAGAAATATAATTTTTAATCCATCAATATCAATTGCTCACATAAAAAAATTAAGATTATTGACCTTCAGTTTAAGTATTACCTACCAATCATAGAGTTATCTATTCATCTTTAATTTCCCAGGAGGAGTTGGATAGTGATGGGAAACTCCAAGCAGGGGTCTCATCCTATTGTCACTATTTTCTGCCTTATCCATAAGGAACAAGAAGTTTTCTTCTCTAAATAAAATCCTCTTTGAATTTTAGTAGTAATTAGGAATGATTAACAGGAAAAAAGTAAAATTTATGAATAAGAAATTGAGTCTAAGACTAGGATCCACAAAAATAACGAACAATTACACAGACACACAAAGAATCAATAATTTTGAAGTCCACCAACATGCAAAACAGATGCAAGTTTTAAAAAAATAGAGAAAGACATAAACTTTAAACTTGGTATTCTAGTTCCACTTTCAAATTCCAACCAATTCATATAACAACTTTTTTTCTAACCAATCTCGTGTTACACTTGACAGTTCCATTTTCAATTCCAATAGTATTCAATTCAAAGCATGAAATAATTAACCAACTGTTCTAACAACTAATCCTAATTCTAACTGTTATAATTTAACTAACTACTAATTAACAATTAATATTAATTAACATTTTCAAACTAACCGTACAAACATAGTGCAAACAACTCTTACAAATGAGAAGTAACACTGCCAAGTAAACAGAACCTCTGACTCAGGAGACAAATGAAGTTTTGTTTAAGTTGTGCATTTCATCAAACAGCTATAAGTCATACAAAAAAACCCTGATGCCAAGCAAATCAATAGCTAAGAAATCCAAACTGTAACAAGTTCTGTTTGGTGTCAGCCAAAAGATCTAACCATATGAAATATAATGAGGCATAGAGAAAAATAGAGCAGACTTTTTTCAACAGGGTGGCTTTAATACATAAAAACGAACCTGTTTGTTAGTGTTCTCATTTCAATACAAACCATAATTCATTTCATATCATCATAGCATAACATAAGCATATCATAAACTATATACTAAAATTAAATTCCATATTTCCCCAATAACAACCACCACAATGAGTAGCATTAAGTTTTTAAAAGCTACAACCGTTACAGTACTAATATTAATATTATCACTCACCGCCACCGCTCAGTCGTATCCACCGTCAGACAGGGTGGCGCTACTAGCCTTCAGAGAAGCTTTCCACGATCCCTGCCTCAGCATCTTCAACTCATGGACCGACACCGATTGGGAGTCATGGTAGTCGGAAAGTGGTGAAGGAATGAGTAGCGGCGGCGGTAGGGTTTCAGGGAAAGGAAAGTTCACGTGGAAGTATGATGAAAATTTGGGAAATTTGGGAGGTCCAATTTTCAAGCCCATATTCAAAGTAAACTCAAATAAAAATTCTTCATTTATTTCTCAAACTCAATTTAAAATATCAAATAAATATCTTAAATAAAATAAAATAATTTAAAGGAAAATAATAATAAAACTAAAATACTTTTAATATTTATTAAATTTTATTTCTACTAAAATATAAAATAAAATAAAATAGTCTAAAAATAAATTTTATATATATATATATATATATATATATATATATATATATATATATATATATATATATATATATATATATATATATATATATATATATATATATATATATATATATATATATATATATATATATATATATATATATATATATATATATATATATATATATATATATATATATATAAAGATTAAAATTAATTTATAAATTTAAAATTCTTTATAAAATTTACTATTTTAACTAGAGATCAAAATTATAACTTCCTTTAGCACATTATAATTAAAGTAGAGTTTCTAAAATTAAAATTTTATAATAATTAACAAGAGATTAAATATATTTTTTTATAACACAAAATATATATTAAATCAATGAGATTAAATTTTAATTTAAAAATAATTCTAAAATATATCCTTAAAGTTAATGTATCAAAATGGAATAAGTGTTCTTTTTTTTTTTGAAAAAATTAATACACAACACCTATTAATATTTCTACAAAAGTATTTAAAATTTTCATTTGTTTTAAAATAAATATTTAAATATTTTAACAAAGTTTGGAGATTGTGTAAATTGGAGATTTTTCATTTCGACATGGTTTTATGAAGCGACTTACTCCCATGGTCTTGGAAATATGCACCTTGACGACTTATATGTCTAATCATATTTCATCCTTTAAAAAAAATTTAATTTTTTTTATTTTCACAACAAAAAAAATATTAAATAAATAAATTTTCTTTGAAAAATACCTAAAAAACTCAATTAATAAAATAATTTTTTTTAAATATAAGATTTAATATAAAATTAAAAAATGTATCAAAAACATATTTTTGGAATCAATATGGCAATTCGGTTTTATAATTTTATTTATTAAGAGTAAATATAACTAATTTTTAAATAAAAAACAATTACAAAATATCCGCAGCAAATATCGCAGTTAAGTTCCAAAAGTTCCGCAGAGAATTTCGATGCAAAGTTCCCAATTCTGCAGCAAATTTGGCAGCAATAACTGCCAAATTTCCCAAGAGTTTCAATATTTACTTGTATAACTGCGAAAGAAATCGTAGTTAAATCCGTAGAAAAATTAATATGTTACTTTAAAACCGCAAGGTCTCAGGAATTCCTGCGATTTTTGCTGCAAATCCATTTTTCGCAGGGAATTATTGTTTGCAATATATGGTCGCAGGTAAAGTCGTAGGTATACCTGCGGATTGTCTACCGCAGGAAATTCCGCAGGTAACTTTTGTATTTCTCTCTTAAGTTTTTTTTTTCTTTTTTTTTTTTACATTTGATAAAGAAATTTTAATTGTTGTGACTTGAATTTATCAATCAAAGTAATATATTGAATAGTGTTAAAAATGAAAAAATAATCATTTTCAATATTAAAAAAAAATATAAATATAATTTTTAAATGTTAAGGTGTTTTCAGTTTTATAATATATATATATATATATATATATATATATATATATATATATATATATATATATATATATATATATATATATATATATATATATATATATATATATATATATATATATATATATATATATATATATATATATATATATATATATATATATATATATATATATATATATATATATATATATATAGTTATTTTGCATCATTTCATATTTTTTTTTATAAATATTTATAATATTAAATTTTGACCCCCTCTATTTAAATTTTTTGAATCCTTCTCTGAGGAGAGGGGCCACACATGGAAATATATTCTACGTTGAAGATGAAGTGTGTGGTCATTTATTATCTCTAGTTAAAAATGGGGCAGTGACAAAACTAATATAAGAAAGTAGGACTGGTGGTTCCATTGTCATGCTTAATAAAAACATAGTAATATCTAAGTTTATAATCGATTTGGAGCCGGTAATAAGAAAGCTAATTTAACTTTGGTTTATAATAAGTTATTATAATAAATATTTTAATGAAAAGAACAATAAATCCCATTTCCTCGGTACTAAATAATTATTTAAAAAAATCATTTTTAAAAAGTTATTTATTTCCCTTTTCTTTAATCACCGCATTGCAGTCGAGGATATTTTATATTAACATACTAAGATAGAATTAACTCAGAAGTTAAGCATTAGCAGATGCCTTATCAACATCAGCAATGATATGAGTATCAATATTTATATTATCAACTATAATTTTATATTGTTAAGAATGAGTATCATGGCACTAAACTAATAAAGCTATGACAATAAAACAGATTAAAAATTAAAGAACATGATTATCTCACCTCTTTCTAACCTAAATAAATTAATGTCAACATTACTTTCCTTTTAGTTTTAGCCACTTTATCTTTAGTTTAGTCAAAAAGTTAATGTCATGTTAGGTGCTATCCAAATCCAAGAATCTTCATAGCAATTTCCATCGATTAAAATTAGAAAATAGAAAATTCAACGCGCTATTGTAACAACAAAATTAATAATCAAATCAACATATATTTTTAATATAAATTTTTTTTTATGTAAATGAACCTATATTAATATATACCAAAAACATTTACAAGAAATAATAAGGATCAAGGATTGCTTCCGACTTAATCCGAAACCTTTGGATTCGAGCTTAGTCCTGATTACACAACAAAAATTAATTTCTGCAGTTGTAACCGGTTTATATAAAAAAAAACACCTTAATATATTGGTATAAAAAAGTACTAGGTATCAAGAATTTGTATGATGAATCTGAGTGATAGGATTTTGAATTTGATCTCTAGAAGAAACAGAAGTTCTTTTGATGAACTCCAAGCAATCTTCAATGGCTTCAGCATAGAAAGAATTGGACCTAACATAAGATGATCTCGTCTTCCAATAATCTTGATGACCGTTAATTTCTTCATCTCTAACCAAACTTCTCCTACAACTGTTGTTCCTTCTGAACCCACTTTTTCTACAAAACAGTCTCTTCAACATTTGAAGAGTATCACCATATGATAGTTTCAAATTGTTAAAGATCCTAAGAAAGAAACTGAACCGTTTGCGTAGCCTTAGGACATAAAACTTTCTTAGGTTTAATCTGAAACCTTTGTTGCTTCCATTGCTAACTCTGTTGTAGCTCATATGACACATGCTTTAGGGCTCTTACTTTCTAGGAAAATATGAGTTTGGAATTTTGGAGAGTTTTTTTAGGGTGTGAATGGTTGATGTGTATGAGATGGGAATAAAGTTGAGAGAAGGTGTGAATGTTGAAATATATAGATAGGTAGGTTGAAGGGAGTATATAGTTCAAAGAGTTGAATCATTGGTAGGGTCATAAGGGACAATGGGGAACATAGAATGTAGAAAATGACAATATTTATTTTTCAAAGTAGGTGATTATAGCACAACAAGAATATGATAGTCACTTTGAAAATTTGAAATTTCCATTTTGAGCTTTATTAATTTTTTTACATGTATATAATTTGTAAGAAATAAAAAAGCTAAAAAGAAAATGAATATTAATTTGATTAGTGACGAGATAAAAATGAAGGTCAGTAAATTTTAATCCGATTCATCTTTTATTTATAAAAAAACTTATAAAATGAGGTAATTCCAACTGATTTATCTAATTTTATCATATGTAATTTCGATATGTGAATGTCAAAAAAAGTTGTAAATGTGAATACTAAAATGTTTGCAAAATTTGACTTTTAAATTGGCTTTATGGTGTATAAGTAGTGGGTTGCTTTTCTAACTAGAGGGTGTAAGGCCCACAAAACTTTATTGTTTTTCTCTGTGTTCCAAAGAAAAAGAATATTAGACTTTTTATGGTGTTAATTTGTTCCACTCGGACAAAAAGTACATCTTTGTAAATTGGGTGAACAGATAGTTTTAATTTTTGAAATTGTTGATTTCAGCAATTTTTAAAATTAATTGTGGCGGTTTTTTACAAAAGAATCTATTATCATTGTCCATACGACATGTAATGTATTATCGAATATTTAGAAGAAAAAAACTTGAGAATTACTTTCTCATAATTTCAAAATTAAATTAATGATATTTTAAAAATTAATAATTTGTAGTAAATACTTTTTTTTTTATAAAAATTATAAATAACTATACTATATTAACATTTTATTGTATATACGTTGTTATTATATAAATATATGGATAACATATCAACACAATACTTAGTTAAAATATTGTATAAAAATAATAATTCAATAATTAGTGTTGTGGTATCATCGAAAGAGACTTTGGAGGCAGGGAGAAGACATATGCTTAGCTTATCGTCATTTTCAAGTTGTCATTTTATTGGTTTGAGCACCTCTACTTCGGATGAGGTGATCCTTTCTTGGATACATTGTCTGGATCCTCGGTACCATCGTCCATAGCGTGCGATCGTGCGTAAAGCATGTATTGGGTCAACAAACGTTATAGATGGTATCGTGGGATTTAACTATGTTTCTTGAATTTCAAGGAACCAATTATCTATTTTCAGAGTAGTTATTATATCCTAGGAAGAAGGGGATCCAGGCCTGAAGGATTATAAATAACTCACTATCGTGATAGATAAAGGTCTAACTACAATAGAAAAAATACACACATATAATAGTTTGTCACCTCATGTGAGTTAGCTCTTAATACCACAACGACCCTAAAGCCTCTAACAACCCTTATTCAATAAGGGTTGGGTTGTTACACATTTGTACTTTTAACAAGTACATTAAGATCCCATCATGACTATAAATACCTCATCATTGTAATAGAGAAGACAAACCTAACTACAACACAAAAATACACATATAAGAGCTTCTCACCCCACATGAGTTAGCTCTCAACCTAACAACAACCTTAAATCCTATGATGGATATTAATTACTAGGGGTTATCATGTATTTGTACTTTTAAAAAGTACAATTGGCGTCCATCATGGGGCTCTAGTGAAACTTACATTTACCACACACATCATTTACTCGCAGTTGCTTTCATCATCTTCTCACTAAGATGTCTGAGCAAAGTTCCGAGACCACTAACACCATCGTTGGAGGTCTCACTAGGGGGAGAATCTAGATCCTCCTAGAGAAGGTACGTCTGACAGGTGTTAACAGCAAACATCACACCCGTAAAAGCTTTTAGTGTATTGGTCATGGACTAGGAGCCCAGAGACACCTTTTTGAGAGAAGACGCGATTTGCGTGCTCTTCCACAATAATGACTCCATCGTCATGACGATTCACTATGCAAACTAGGATGTGACGCAAATGTTTATTGACCATGACAGCTCAGCAGACATCTTGTTCTAAAGCGCCTTCTAGGGGCTCCATGTGGCCTCTTGAGCTTTTCAAAGGTCCCTTGTTGGCCTCTCGAGCCCACAGGTGCAGGTCAAGGGCACTACATCAAATAATGCTTTTCATGACAAAACTTTCACCACGAACAATAAAAAACCAAGGTATAAATCCAAGGTGCGTTATTTTTATTATTTAAATAAAAAAACCATATATTCCCTCAATTTTTCATAAAACCGAGGTGAAAAAACAACTCAGTACAAGCTTTGATTCCCAGCTATCGCGGTTTATGATTTTATTTGCTTATAAGTGTAAATAATATGTTCTGACCCTTTGATTTTCTATTTAACTGAGGCATAAAATAAAAAGATTTTACTATAAAAGCACTCGTTAAACATATTTTAACCTAATCCTTACTAATATGAAGCCGCCCCAAATTTGAAAGCATCATTCTTTGGGATGGATTGCAAGACAGAAAAATCTTCAATGTTCTTCTATCTTGAACAAAACATTTTTTTCTACCCTTTCAATCTATCTCACATAATGGTGTTGATGTTGTCGTTGTTGTATTTTTGGAATAACCCTCAATTAAAAAAGGGAGTTCAACCTTTGAAGAGTACTCGGTTGATAGATTGCAAGTGTAGAAAATCATTCTTGTTTCAAAAAAATTTGTTTTAAAGGGTATGCAACAAAATTGGATATCACCGAAAAAAAATTCTCTTGGTTGAAACATATAACTTCTTAGAAATATGAAAAAAATGTAAATATAAAAAAATTTCCCTTGTTTGGAACAGATAACTCTTCTAAGTTGTTCTACAATAATCCATTGTCAAATCCTTAATTTGTTTAAGTAATTTATTTTAATATTATGTGTAAACAATGTAAATACAAAAAAAAAGGTTTTTCCTCTCGGTTTTAAATAGAAACCGAGAGGTATGTGGTTTGGGATGGAACATATTTCATTTTTTTACTTAAAAAGAAATATAATTTACCTCGATTTTGAGTGATAACCGAGGTAAAATATAAGCGTGTTTTTTCAGTTTCCTCACTGTCCTTAAACAAATCTTCATTGTCCATTTAATGATTATCAACGCTTAAGACACTGTCATTAGTGATCCTCATGAAATCTAAAACCCTCGTTATAAAAGCATTATGAATATTTAAATATGATAGTAGTGAATCCACAAGAAACCAAGCATTGTTGTGAAAGTATCACTATGATGGATCGCAAGAGCATACAAAAATTAGGTTTATTTAATATGTGGTTGGTGAGAGTGTGTTTACTTTGCCAAAGATTTATGTGATGGATTGCAAGGGTAGAAAATTATCATGGGTTCAAGGTTTGTGTTCTTAAATAATCGTATAACTGAATATTTATATTATTTAGCAAACCTTTTTTTTATATCAGAAATAAATGAATGCAAAATCTAAAGAGAATATATTGCATTCAATATTTGATCTTCATCAAGATCAATGAAACAAGGATCCCCAACATTTGATATTCTCCAAGATATCTAGTATTTGTTATTCACTGATAATGATGACGATGAAGAATAACATTTTTACTTTAATATTCTATGTAAACAATGTAGTTTGTAAGCAAATTAATTTATTAATATTTTGTGTAAACAATGTAATGAGTTTTATTTATAAAAAACTATCTAACCCCTCAGTTTTTAAATAAACCAAGAGGTATGAGGCGTTGTTTTTTTAAATAATTAAAATACAAGTGTTGGGGTTCAAACCCATGATCATATAACTTTACCCCTCGATTTTTCTTTAAATGAGGTGTTAAGTGGAAACTTTTCATGTCACCCTTTGTTATGTCGCCTTGGTAGCCGAGTTTACATCTCTTTTACATGCGACATTATAAGGTTTATTTGTAGTAGTGGAGCCATATCACCCTTGAAACAACATTCGGCTCAAAGGCAAGTTCCATAACCATTAAGGTGAAGTATCTTGTAATAAAACCATATCCCTTTTTAATGTCATCCTAGGAAGGCTTGCTTTTAATTTGTTGGAGGCAGTACTATCCACCACCCATTAAAGCCTAAAATACACCTAATAGACACATGGGTACTGTTAGAGAGGATCAGTAGATCGCCCAAGAGTGTTACTTGAGAAGCATGGAAGTAACGAGGTAACCCTTTACCTTAGATGTCATCCCTCGTCTTGAAATGAATGATGCTGATACAACAAGTTAATACCCATGGTTAGGGGCAAAAAGTGAAAGGCTCACCATAACAAAATATATGAAAGAGGTCCATATTGGACCTCTGCATCACCAACTCATTATGTTGGGCACCTCGTTGTATGAATCCGAAGAAGATTTAATTTTCATACTCAGAAATAATATCATCATGTTCGCCTGGTCACCCCCATATATGTTTGGCATATATACTAAAGTAGTATGTCATCACCTCGCCATAGACCCCTCAGTCAAGCCAGTGTCTCAAAGAAAGCACAAGATTTGCAAGGAGAATAGAACAACCATTGATGAGGAAGTTTAGAAGACGACAAGCATTGATTTTATAAGAGAGATAAAATACCTATTGTAACTAGCTAATGTGTTTTTGGTGAGAAAGGCATCAAATAAGTGGCATATGTGCTTTGATTTCATCGACCTCAATGTCGTATGTCACAAAGATCCATATCCTCTCCCCAACATACATTTCTTGATTGACGGATCTTAGAGGCATATTCAGGGTACAACCAGATTAAGATGGATTGCATAGATGCGCCCAAGAAGGCATTCATATCCATATTGGAACAAGATTGTGCATACTTATTGGGTTTTAATGATAATAAAGTATTTAAAGAAAAGATGGGTATACTAATATATTTTCAAGTGTGCAGAATCATAA